TTATTATCATTATTAAAATTCTTATTAGCACGGGAAAGGAGGCAGCGGATTTATGGGGACCTTCTACCCAGAAACTTGCAGAATAAAAATGAATTGATTAAAAAAATAAAATATGGGTAAGTAGTGTGGTTACCCTATGCAATATTTTATGGAATAGATAGTTTGGAACTTGTGTGTGCTTGACTACGTGTCAAGGAGTCATTGGTTAGGTGTTTACTAGAAGTCAACGTATAACACGTTTGACAACTAAAATTTGTACTCTTCCGCACCTGATTGTTTCTAGAGCAACGGATTTACCGTCGACAGGTTCCCCCCGTTAATCCTGTCCCCTCCGTAAACAGAAGAAAACAACGTGTGGGCCCCACACTGACATCCATCAGGGGGTAAGTGGGGGGCTGGACATGGGGGGGACTCTTCCGACTCCCTCCCCAGATCCGTCACGATTCACGCCATCCCAGAAATAATTTAAAAAAAGGAAACCATAAAAATTTATTTTAAAATCTAAAAACGTTAACGGAGGCGTACCTCACGGCGGATTCGGCGAAACGTTTGAAAGGTTGGCGTTGCCGGAGAACGTGGAGGTCGCCGCCTGGACAGAACTCTGTCAATAAACAAAGCCACTTGGGAGAATCGATAGCCGCATAAAGTGAAGGCAGGAAAGGATGGTCTAACTGCTCCAGTATTTCCCTCTCGGTCTTTGCCCTGCCTTCTTTGCTCCTGGAAGCTAGCTCTTTCTTATCCATCACTTTAGCAGCGAAAAGAATGCCGTTGTTTCTAAGAAAACTCTTGCTCTGGCCGCCATTGTCGACCTTCTCGGCTGACGGTGACTTTATCTCTGCCAAATAGACTGAGCCGATGTCGCCAGAACCTAGGCGGAGGGAAAATCGGAGGTCGGAGAGGGAGAGGGAGCGGATTGGCTTGGAGGAGAAAGAACCGTGAGCGGAGGGAGCGAGGGAGGAACCAGAGCCGGAGCTGGAACTGGTACTGCGATTGATGGTGGTAGTGGTCGTGGTTGACGTGGAGGTGAAGCTGAGGCTCTGCAGATCGTCGGCTAGGTCGTCGACGCACGGCTCCATTTTGGGGAGAGAGAGGGAGGGAGGGAGGAAGGGAGGGAGGGAGGGCGTGAATTTACTTGCAGACTGCGAAATCAGAAATGTGTTTGATATTAGAATCGGAGATTGGGCCGGGTTTTTAGGCGGGGACCCAATGTGAAAATTTGGATTTTGCGGGAAATTGTGGGCCTCTTAGGGGCCGTTTGGAATGGTAATCACAGGTAAACAACTTGAAAATCAGTCCTAGATATTCTCATAATAAAAGGAAAAAAAAAATTTATTTTTATTTTTACCTATAAAAAAAAATTCTTAGAGATGGAGAAAGAATAGAATGTAATTAAGATTTAAGACAATATCTTTATCATACTTAACATGGTAATTTTTTTAAAAAAATTTTGAATTATATAATAAGAATAATTTTTTCATTTCCTTACCTATTCTATGTAAATTTTAACTCAAATAACAAATCTTTTACTTTCTTATAAAAGAGATTATTATTGGGAGTATGCCTCAATTTTTGGGAGTGATTAGCTAATGACAATTTGATATTGCACTAAGATTTCATACTTATAAAATTCATTGATGGAGAGTTTATGTATATATACATCATTAGAAATTGAGACACATTTATTAAGCAAAATTTCATTTGAATTACATAATATTAAGTATTAAAAAGATTACACTTAGCTCTTCAAATTTAATAACATTAATCACATTGAATAAATATATTTATTTTTTCTTGGACATGTTTCATCCGATTTCATTTCAAATTGTTGAAAAAATAAAAAAGGGTTACTTTTTCTCTTCCTTCCCTTTTAATAATGGAGAAAAAAAAAAATGAAAGTTAATGAGAGTGGGTTGATGGACTTTTATTGAGAGAGTAGAAGAGGTCAATTTTACGCGAAATTAAATATGATCTCAAAATTTATGTACCATTGTCTCCCCCCACATGTAACTAATTAATACCTGCAATCGAACTTGTCGTTTCAGTCCTTGCCTTAGTACATCGAATGAAAAAACTTTGCTAACTGTCAGTTTTTCTCTTCTTCTAGTCAAAAGAAAAAATAGAAAAAAGCTTGGATGGTATGTTTTTAGGAAAAAATTCATATTTGTCATTTTTTTTTATAAAATAAGATTTTTTTACGCATATATTTTATATATTATATTTATATAAAATTTTAATTATTTATTTTTTCACTTTTAATTATTAAGATTTACTCATATTTATTAAAAATAATTATTTTTTATTTAAAAAATTATAAAAAAATCTCAACCACTAAAAATAAAGATATGAATAATTAAGATTCTATATCAATGTAATATGTAAGCTTTGTATATAAATGTATTCATTATCTTTTTTTAAAATTAGTAAAAAAATCACTCTAAAATTACATCTTTTTAATAAACTCTCATTTTAAAAAAAAAAACAAAATACTCTATTTTTAAAACATAAATTAGACTATTTTTTATGTTTATTTTTTTTATTATATTTAATTAAAATGATATAATTTTAAAATAATTTTTCTTATAATTTTTATCTTATAATTTTTAAGAAATAAAACAAATAAATATGAATCTCATATATTTATCCAACTACTATAGCTAGTTTATGGAGAAATCCATTAAAAGAGCATTAAACAGATGGAGAGAACTTGATATGATATGAAG